AGGGGTCAATAGTAGGTCCTATAGAAATTTAAAGCCTACCGGTTCCTCAAAGGCGTGTTTAGGATAAGGATTAGTCTGTATTATATATGGCTGTATTTGTTCTGGATGTCCTTTTCCTCCTGACCCAGTTTCTAGTCTTAGTCTACGGTGAGCTGGAAAGATGTAGAGATACAGGCCCCACATCTCACGCTGTCTCTACTTGGGAGGAGACTGCACAAAGAGAAAAACTGTAGGTAAGTGTAGCTTTATGTTCTGCATAACCTACGACATATTTTTATAAGTTCAGTCTTAACCCAAACTCGTATTGATTTTACGGATAGTGATCAAGTTTATTATGTCACTTTAATATTTGGGGGCTATCTTGGCTTAACCGCGCGGACCAAGAGGAGACAAGACCTCACTAAAAGAGTAGACCTCACCAAAAACCTAAATCCTATGATGATGTGCCCATATCAGACTATATGTGTGGCTAATTAGAAGACTAGCCTCTACTGGTCTCAACCTTGAGGCACAAGGGAGCAATCCATTGTATTCTCGACTCCCTTCTACATCCGGGGCTCTGTAGAAGTGGACCGACTAACCCGTGCGATGGAATTGACCCTAAATCCAAAGAGGCAATAGAAAAAGGGATATACCCGCTATTACAGATTCGGGACAACACCGGTGTCAAGTCTAAGGAGAGACCAAGTTAAAGTCGTGGAAAAAATGGAGATAAATCCTCCAGCTTCCACCTCACTGGAATACAAGTAGCGGAGTCCGGAGGAGGTACCTCAGCCGAAGACAAGCTCCTCGACTGTGAAGGGCACGGAGGGTTAAACTCCAACCGTGAAAGGGTGTGTACCTTCGTAGGAGGTAGATGCCCACTCCTCGGAGGATGAACCTCTGTTGTCAGAGGAGGATGGGAAATACCCTGTCTCCCATACAACAGGAAGTTATGATAAGTTATAGACTGTATAAGTTACAGACTGTATGATGAGCTATAATTCATGAAAGGAGGACACAATAGATCTTTAAGGTCGCGGTGGTTAACCCCCACCCTCTTACTCATTCTACATTCTACAATGTCAATTGTAAACGATCGCTCATAGAAAGCGAAATTGGCTGCCTTGTGTAAAAGCATTAATAAATTTTTAGAGCTTTTGATACTCATGTGTCCTGATATCCATGGTCAGAGTCACTTATTACTCAGATCACGAGAGTCACTTACGCTCAGATTTCATATGAATCGAACTTTCAACATTCGGATACTGTATAATCACTAGTTTGTTTTGATACAATGATATATAGCATGTGATTTTGTATAAAATAAAACTAAAATTTTGTTACCTCCTCCTAACTGTACTAGAACTTATTTACTTATTTGTATTAGAAAAACAATAATATTATATTTAATAACGGAAACAACTATTTAACCGTGTGATTAATTAATTTAGAGTCGGAAACACCTCAAGCCAAGTCCAAAAAGATATTTTAATACGCCATCCTGTTGTCGGATCTATGAGATATAAATTAAGGAATGAAGCAGTCGTAAAACTTATCTTAACGAGCGACAATAAAAGCAGAATGACTTATTTTTTGCCATAAGAAGTATTTAACAACTCCATTTTGTCTACTTTAACGCTAACTGAAAATTTATGATAGATATTTAAAATTAAATTATCTTGAAGTATGAATATATTTAATAAAAATAATATTTATTTCTGCATTACACTTACAAAAATTATCATAGAAAAGCAAAGAGCGGAGTTTAAAGAGAACTTATTTCTTAAAGACTCATTTGAAACCAGAAATTATTCTCTGATTTCATACGATAAATAATATCTATAAATATATCTAAAGTTCAGTAGTTCTCTCAGAGGACTAGAAAAATACATACCAAAATTAAAAAGAATGTTGCCGATGTAGCTCTGAAAAGTTATGTCAATAAAAAGTCTCGCCAAATCGGTTCAGCCACTTGGGATATTAGTGTGGAGAAACAAACATAAAAGAAAAAAAGGATGTATGTGCTTTGGTAACGTAAAAATAAAGGGATATCATATTTATTTAGAATGTTTGCTAAAAGGTGGCGACAGTGTCTCATTTAAAATAAAAAAAAATACGTTGAAGTTCCATTGACCTTTATTTAATTAACACTTACCACAGATCATTAAAAATCAGACATAACAATGAATGGGTGGACTGTAAAATCCTCGTAGACCTTAGGTATTTGGCCAATCAACACGATATTCAGTGGTCAGAAAGTAAGAGTTGTGAACAGTAAACTGCATTGGAGAAGAATTGCAAGAGAATATTTTTATTCAAAATAATCTAAATTCCACCAATCGTTTTCAACCAAACAAGTATTGAGGCTTAAAGAACTCTAAAAAAGCAAAACCACGGTATAATAACTTATTATACCTTATACTGTTTTGTTATTACAAAGTTACAAAAGTTACCTTATATATTTATTGGTATAATTTATAAATCATCTTTTACTATTTTTAAGTCCTTAGTAATGAACTACGTATAAGACTAGTTAACAATTATTATATTTCAGGTCCAGTCCTCAATATTACATATCATTTTTAACAATGTAGTACATGCCATCTCATAATTTTGAGCACAAGGTTTAAAGAAGAATAAGAAGAAGAACACAATCTCTGCTCCTTCTTGCTTTGGTTGTGACACTCGCCGCTAACTTCATTGTGTTTTCTTGTGCGGCGAGTGCAAGGTTAAATTTTTGCCGTTTCGTTTAATTTAATCAATTTTTAGCGCTAAATAATTAGGAAAAGGTATCTGATGTGAGTATACATTGTCTAATTGTTACGTTGTAACCCTATATGTACAAAAACTACGACAGTATAGTTTACTAGGAGTAAAATAAAAAAACTTGTGGTCTAACCTTACATTTGAATACCATAAATAACGTTTTTTTTAGCAGTTCTCTTACAGAATGGACAAGTCTAAAAAGAGAAATAGGGATGAATCCTCAAGCGACTCTGAAAGGGAGTCCCTTGTAAAACGTGTAAAAAAGTTGGAACGAGAATTACAAAGACAAAAGGCGCATAATTCCCGTTCTCGTAGTCGAAGTCGCCATCATAGTTCGATGCATCGTAATCGAGAGCGGCCAATTACAGATAACGAAAAACGCAAGGTTCCCCGAATGTGTAATTCACCGGTGCCGGAGTCAAATGACGATAAAGGCGAGTATCGCATGCAGCGTTCTCAATCATATGCGTCAGAAAATGCGGCGTTGCCACGTGTAGTAGCAAATCAGTCGCGTAATGACAATAGCGTGTGTAACGTTGTGTCAGAAAATGATCACGATGTGTGTAGCATCAGCATCTACGATGGCGAACCAGATCATGATGAACTTGTCGTTCATAATGACGATGATGAACTTGTCGTTCATAATGACGTTAGCCTTCCCGATGACGTCATGGAATTGATAGGAGAAGACCCGAACAAAGCACAATCGAATGTTTTTTTCTTTGCACGAGTCGTTGATCTCTAGATGGCAGGCAATTTTAGTAAATGGCCTAAAAAAAGAGGAGTGTGTAACTCTTCTTAATAAATATGAAACCCCAGCGAATCTAACACAGCTTATGCCACCAAAGCTTAATCCAGAGATCTCCTCGGCCTTATCTAAAAATTATTTAATGACTGACTCCTCTCACCGTGAGGTACAAAACCATTTGGGAAGAGGAATAAGTGCTCTAGGCAAAAACATATCGTGCTTGCTAACTAATGTGGAACAGATTCCACACGAGTTTAGAAAGGACCTCCTTTCAAGTGCGCTAGACTCGGCTCGTATTCTTACAAACCTTTTTCATAGGATAACTACTACTAGAAAAAACTTGGTTGTTCCACACCTAAAAAATATGAAGGAAATCGCCGAAAAATGTACCACTTCCGAGTATCTGTTTGGAACAGATCTATCAGAAAAAATTAAGTGTATTAAAAGTATGGAGTCGGTGAGCAAAGAATTAAAATTACCAATCATGACAAAAAATACCCCGTTTTCAAGAAATCAGAGGGGGGGCGCTGTAAGTAGTAGGCCGAGTAGGCCTCTCCAAAACCGTTTTTCAGCTGGAAACACTTTAAACTCCTATCGCCCTTCCCGTCCCTTGGGGGAGACGGGAACGAGCAGAGGGCAAGCCCCAAGGAGCAGACATCAGACGGAATATCGGAGAACCAGTCAACAAACCAAATCGAGGAACAGTTATCAACGAAGGAATTAATGGTAAGTGTACCAAATTGCGCGGGCCGCCTAAGACAATTTCACGAAAAATGGGTATCAATCACTACCAACCCGGTTGTCCTGGGGTGGATAAAAGGGTATACTTTACCTTTTGTTAGTAAACCCTACCAACTTAATCGTTCTCATAAACAAAAGTTCTCCAGCATTGATTATAAGCAAATAGAAACGGAAATCGCTAGTTTCATCAAAAAAGGTGTGGTACAAAAATGTCTTTCCTTACCAGATCAATTTTTATCACCAATTTTTCTTGCAGACAAGCCAAATGGTAAAAAGCGACTAATTCTAAACTTAAAACAGTTAAATACTTTTCTCAACCCTCCTCACTTTAAAATGGAGGATACTAGAACTGCATGTCGGCTAATTCAACCCAACTATTTTACAGCCACAATTGACCTCAAGGATGCTTATTATTTGGTGTCAGTAAATAAAAAAACACAGAAAATACTTAAGATTTTCTTTTAATACGTCAATATATGAGTTTACTTGTTTACCGTTTGGCTTGGCAACAGCGCCTTATACTTTTACTAAGCTTTTAAAGCCAGTTATCGAATACCTCCGTTCCAAGGGAGTATTATGCGTTAACTATTTGGATGATTTTTTGATCTTAGGCACACATTTCAAGGAATGTTGTACAAATGTTAATCTTGTTGTAAACGTCTTAAGTTCTCTGGGATTTATAATAAATGAGGAGAAAAGTGTATTTTTTCCTAGTATCCAATGTAAATTTCTGGGTTTTCTGTTCAATTCGAGTAGAATGACAATGGAATTGCCACAGGAGAAACGGAAAAGACTCTTAAAATCTATAAAATCATTTCTACTCCGAAAAAGTTGTAAAATTATCCATTTTGCACAACTCCTAGGCCTCTTAAATGCGGCGTGTCCGGGTATAAAATATGGTCGATTATATACTAAAACACTGGAAAGAGCCAAATATTTAGCCTTAAGGGCTAACTACGGCAACTACAAATCTAAAATGAAACTTTCAATGGAAGTTAAACACGATTTGCGCTGGTGGTTGGAAAAACTTCCACGGGAAATGAATGTACTAAGAAAAGAAAATTTCCTAATTGAAATTTGCACGGACGCAAGTTTGTCAGGCTGGGGTGCATATTGTCAGGGTAAAAGTGCTTGCGGGTGGTGGTCTTTAACTGAATCAGAAGATCACATAAACTTGTTAGAACTTAGAGCTATTTTTCTGGGATTAAAATGCTTTGCGGGCAACCTCAAGGACTGCAATATCCTTATACGTACCGATAATACCACCGCTCTTTCATATGTCAACAAGATGGGAAGTGTTAAATTCCCCAAACTTAATAACCTGGCAAGAAGCTTATGGAAATGGTGCGAAAATAAGAATATATGGATATTTGCATCATACATTCAATCCAAGGAAAATTGGCAGGCTGACCAAGCATCGCGAACTTTACCTAAGGAAACGGAATGGTCCCTAAACAATAATATTTTCAATGATATTACGCAGCAACTTGGTCAACCGGATATCGATCTATTTGCATCAGTTGCTAATAATAAATGTAAAAGATATTTTTCTTGGTACATTGACCCAGAATCGGAAGCCATTGATGCGTTCACAGTGTCATGGAGCAACCTAAGTTTTTACGCATTCCCTCCTTTTGCTTTGATCCTTCGGACCTTGCAAAAAATAATTAACGATAAGGCAACGGGTATTATGGTAGTGCCTTTTTGGAAGACCCAACCATGGTACCCATTATTCGTGAAATTAACAGTTGGCCACCCGTTATTTTTTGGACCTAATAATGACATTCTTTTTTCCCCTTATAGCAAAGTGCGACATCCAATGTGCAAAGATCTTATCCTGGTTGCTGCGAAGCTCTCTGGGAAGCATTCAGAAGAAAGGGAATCCCAGAAAGCGCAATTGGAACAATGGTAAAGTCTTTAAGTGACTCTTCCCTTAAACAATATAATTCAACTCTAAAATCGTAGTGGAGCTACTGCAGTAGACTGAATATCTCTCCGTTCACATGCGAAACATCTGACGTGATTTCTTTCCTTCAGGAGGTTCTCGATACAACTAGCAATATATTTGGGTCCTTCAACTCTCACCGCGCTGCGTTGTCACTTGTTACGTCACGAAACTTAGGGAAAGACCCTGACCTAAAAAGATTTATGAAAGGAATTTTTAGGCTTCGACCTCCGAAACCTAGATATACGTGCACATGGGATCCGGAAAAAGTTTTAACTTTCTTCGAAAATTATGATATAGTCCCTTTGAAAAACTTAACATATAAGTTAATAATTTTATTAGCTCTGGCCACAGCACAGAGAATTCAAACCCTGTCAGTAATTAAATGCTCAAACATTCATTTTTGCGATTCAGGGGCAAAAATTTATACCCTAGATTTGTTAAAAACGTCCAGGCCTAACGCTCCGCAAACCTGTCTGAATCTATGTTTTCTACGCGAAAAGCCAGGCCTTTGCGTAGCTACAATCCTCAAAACGTATTTAAAAGTTTCGAAGACACTCAGGCCGGATAATTGTGACAATTTATTCATTACATACGCAAAACCTCACAAAAAAGCTTCAAAACAAACTTTAAGCGTTGGATAAAGGGAGCTCTGGAGTTGGCTGGGATAGATTCATCAGTGTTTAAAGCGCACTCGACGCGACATGCTTCCACATCGGAAGCATTTAGAAAAGGACTTACGATTGACACTATTAGAAAATCCGTGGGCTGGAGCGATAAGTCGAAGGTCTTTGCTAAATTCTACAACAGACCTTTGTCAGGGGCAGAAAGCTTCCTTCAAACAGTTTTTAATGCAGAATAATATCTTTTTTGTCTTTTTTTATTTTGTTCGATTTATTATGTTCGTAAAAATTTTGCTGGAATTTTGCTGTTTTTTTTACTTTGTTTTTTTTTAGGTTATGAATATGTACTGTATTAACATATTATATATTTCTTTTAATTATGTATGTAGGTATACATAAACATAATAATATACTGTTCATTTCAGCTTGATTTTTAGTTCCCCAAAAACGTACTTGAGTTAATAATAATTTTACTGGCCAATTAATAAATCTTTAAACATCTACATTGTTAAAAATGATATGTAATATTGAGGACTGGACCTGAAATATAATTAATCGATCAAAAGAACTTACCTGAAGTTCGATCGTAATTATATGAAGGTCCAGTCCGAAAATATTACATCCCACCCTCCCTCAACCAATTGGCAGTAAAATTATTAAAATCTTTAAAACCAATGAAGTTAGCGGCGAGTGTCACAACCAAAGCAAGAAGGAGCAGAAATTGTGTTCTTCTTCTTATTCTTCTTTAAACCTTGTGCTCAAAAGTATGAGATGGCATGTACTACATTGTTAAAAATGATATGTAATATTTTCGGACTGGACCTTCATATAATTACGATCGAACTTCAGGTAAGTTCTTTTGATCGATTAATTATTGATTAGTCAGAATTTCCTCTTGGCCCAATAATTTTATTTTAATTAGTTTTAATTGCTTTTTAGTTAACCTGAAAGACAAGTAGTATGCTTGTGCTTATAGCTCCAGAAATCCCAATATTATTCATGAACCTGGCTTTTGTTATAATTTACAAGTATTCCTTTTTAAATCGCCATACAAATAGGGTTTGCGGTCACAATTACATGCTTTTTAAAAATTCGGATAGCGAATTCCGCAAATAAACTACGCTAATTTCAAACACTCGAATCTCAAAAACAAACGGTTTGTTAACTCAAAAACACTGCATCTCCTAAAATGGAATAAATTACTATGCACGTAATAAGCTAATGGTATAGTACTACATCTGCGTAACGTAAACATTCATGCATTTTTTATAGCATTAAACCCAGTTTTTGATGATACGTTCTTGTATACACAACCTTGGAATCATTCCCTCTGACATGTATAGTCTGTTCCACTATATAACAAAGCATTTGTTGTCTGTCATTTTAATTAAAGAGTAAATTTTACTTTACGTCAATTTCTAGACGTCGTTGAATGAACAACATAATAGGACGATTTCGTAGTATGTCGAAATCGTCTCCACTGGAGCTATGAACTTTTTTTCCTAATAGTTGCTGTAATTTATTAGTAGCGCTGTACACAAGTTTTATATATAGTGATAATTAAAAAAAGACCACTACACGCAAATATATTCCTAATAACTCTTATCATCAAGACCGCTAGTTTCAATTTGGTGGTTCATAGATTACCTAGTATTCCGCTTTCCAAAGATATATAATAAAAGAGAAATAAATTATATTAGGGTTGTACTTGTGTGTAATGGACATGCTCTTTCATTAGATGATAAAATAATTAGAAATAGGTACTTATATATTAGTAAATATAGGTTTCTGCATACTCAAGTTATTTCAGCAAGGTCTTTCAAATGTTACGTTAAATATGGGAACAATATATGTTTAAGGTCGCAGTGATTAACCCCCCTCTCATTCATTCTACTCATTCATATGTTAAATTTTATATTTCAATGTTGTCTGCTAATGACCGTATAGCTTTTTGCTGTTAAAGCTCTTGTGGTTAGTAGGGAAGCTCCTAGTCAGATGCTAGGGAGAATCCCATATGGCACTTTGGCTAGGTCTAAAGAGCATTTCACTGTTTTGTCCCTGGCAGTAGCGTCGTGGCTAGGGAATTACACCCAGACATATAACGATGCCGGATGAGACTATCCTTTCCATCATACCAGGCACCACCTAATATATGTGGTTATGTCTCACGGGTAGAAGGTGTGGGGAGGTCTTGGCTTAACCGCCCGGACCAGGAGACGACCTCACCAAAAACCTAAATCCTATGATGGTGGGACCAGGTCAAGGGAATGCGTGGCTGGATAGAAGTCTTAGCTCTACTAGTCTCAACCTTTAATCTCCCCTATTTGGATTTTCCTTACTTAGTCGTCTCTCTTACTTCTATATGCGGGGCTCCGTAGAAGTGAACCGACTAACTCTTGCGGTTATAAAACTCCAATGTATGGACATCGAGTTGGTGAGTCATCAACTCGAGGGAGGAGGGCCATGGTCAGGTCCTCACAATAGGAATTGACCTAAAATCCAGGGAGGCAATAAGAAAAGAGAGATATATCGTCTATTATAGATCCGGCACTTACACCGGTATCAGGTCTAAGAAGAAACCAAGTTAAAAAGCCTAAAAAGGTGAATAAAATGGATATTGATCCTCCAGCTTCACCCTCAAGGGTACGTCAGCCGGAGACAAGCTCCTCGACTGTGAAAGGCACGGAGGGCTAAATCCCAACAATGGAAGGGTGTATATCCTCGCAAGAGGTAGCGTCCACTCCTCAGAGGATGAACAGCTGTTGTCAGAAGAAGATGGGAGATACACTGCCCCCCTCCCTACAATAGGAAAATCCCCATGTATGATGAGTTCTAGACCGTATGGTGAGTTATAACTCAAGAGAGGGGGACATAAAAGGTTGCAGTGATGAACCCCCTTCCACTCATTCTACATTATAATATACGTTTTGGATCACCATGAATTTTTAATTTTTTAAATTGACTATACAAATAATATATCATTACTTTACAAATTTATAAAACAATCACGGGCGTTTCGAGTGATGTTAATTAAGGAACAATAATCAAGACTTCAAATTACGTAACAAATTACTATTGTCAAATTTCATTGTTAAATAAACTCATTGATATGTAATTACAAGATATGTATTAAGAGATATATTAATAGCCGGCTGTCAATTGTTCTATTATTCCTTTTCTTTATCCAAGTTAGTATGTTCGCTGTCCAATCGCAAATGCACGTTCTGTTTGAAATTACATAAAATTATAAAACAGAAAAATACACAAACATTGGATTTTATAGAATATTATTATCAGAACGTCAAAGATTTTAATGAAACAGGTTTTCTCTAAGTAGTTACATTCGGACATTTTAATACAATGGTAATTTTATTCTACAATACCATAACTTTTAGAGCTGAGTTATAAAAGCTAAAACAATAGTAGAAACAGTTAATTTTCATTGCCAATTTATTTTATATATAAAAAAATAATATTTCATTGGTATTTCCTATCAAACCAGTTCAGGTTATTTCCATAACACAAATACTAAACAATCTCACTTATTCTCTATTCTTTAAGCCAACCGCTATTTTAATAACATACTCTATTTCCTACCGAGATAAATTTGCGATTCTGGGTGTATTTGCAACAAACTTACGCATACGAATATTAGCAAATAATATAAGGGTGTCTCAAAAAACATGCGCTATCTCTCGTGAGGAGATTCTTCATGTAACAATATCATTTATTTTTCGTATAGACATAGGTTCGATTCTGCTTTGTTTAGTTGCTCTAGAAGTTTAAAGTCTTAATTTTTAATTTACTTCCAAGTGCATTAAGAGATTTGAATGAAATTTTGTAGAAGTGCAACATATTTGAATGCTAAAAAGTGTCGACAGATTCATGTGTGCCACATAATTTTTTTTTCTTTTGTTAGCACAGTTGTGTATGCCTTTTAATGCTGATTAAAAGTTTCCTTTTAATATTTTTTCGACTTCAGTCTCCTTGATAATATGATAATATAAACACAATTTTATTAATGTCTTTATTTAAAACCAATAGCAATCTTTAAAAAAAATAATGTCATTAACTGGGGCTAAAGTGTTAAATAAGTATGGGTGCGGAAATGCATACTCTTAAAATTACAGGAAGTTAAAACTTAAAAAAATCTTTCTTTTGTAATTATCTTAAAAACCATTTTTTTCTTGAAATTGCTGTAGGTAGCATTAAAGAGCAGTGTTATAAATTTAAATATAATTTAATAATAGAATTGATTAAGTAAACAGTTTATTATTTCTCTTTTATTCTAATTTTATTAATTGCAATTAATAAAATTGCATTTATCTCATCAAGGAGATCGAA